AAGCACAGGAGACAAAACAGCAACACCGCTCTCTTGCAGAGCAAATCTTCTGCTAAGCAGAACCTAAAGGCTTTATTCTTTCCCCTTAGCTTTCATATGTGAGCACAATGTAGTTGAAAACTATACCTTGTATGTGATACCAGTTTCCCATTTTCCTCCAAAAATTTCAATACAAATTAAATCAAATGCACTTAGAAACTTCAGTGTTCTTTGCTAGTATTACTTTTGACTTAAGTTTTAAGAGTTTAGTGGGTAAAGTATGTAAAATCAAAAGGTAAACATGAAAACAGAAGAATATTTTGCCTAATACCAATTGGTGGAGTCAGTTTCTGTTCACATGTTCTATGACTTTAAGATCTACCACAACCAAATTAGCTCCCAAGACTGTGCCTACCTGGGGTTAAAAATAAGCAAGCCACGGGGGTGTAGGAATCACTCTGCATGGGTGAATAAGGCTTTTTTATTTTAAAATCCCACCTGTTGATAGATCTCTAAAACCTTGGTTTAAACGTTTAAACGTTAGAATTGGGAGGGATACCCTACACAAGACAAATAGCTCAAATCATAAAAGACTGATCTTCATTTTGACTATATTAAAATTAACAACTTCTATACACCCAAAGACAACATAAGACAATGAAAAGAAACACTGTAAACTGCAAGGAGATATTTATAACCATTATAACTAGCATTAATAGCTATACTACAAATGGGCTTGGCATAAATCACTAGACACAAACAACCCAACAAAAAATGGGCAATGCTACTAACTTTCTCTCTCCATTTCTCTCTCACAGACACATCCAAAAATACATATACACAACCAAAAAACCAATAAACATAAAACAGTTCAATGACAATCTTAAAAACTACAAATGAAAATCATTTTACAAAAAATTAAAGTCTAATAATCGCAAATGTTGGCAAAGATATGCATAAACCTTAAACGTATAAAAATCTTAAGCATATAGTTAAAAATCTATTTAGAATTACGTAGTACAATTAAATATACACAACTGACAACTGAACAATTACATTAAGTATATGCTGTGGAAAATCTCTTAAATTCTTGTACAGGTAGATATATACACGGTTATCCATATGCAGCAATTTTTAAAATTTTTTTTTCATTTGAAAAGTAGATTTACAAAGAGAGAGGGAGAGATGGAGAAGCTCTTCCATCTTCCAGTTCACTCCCCAAATAGTCACAACACCTGGAGCTGAACTGCTCTGGAGCCAAGAGCCTAGAGTTTCTTCCCAGTTTCCAACATGTGTCTAAGGGCCCAAGGATCTGAGCCGCCTTTTGTTGCTTTCTCAGGCAAATTGGCAGAGATTTAGATCAAAGTAGAGCAACCAACACTTGAACCAGAGCCCATATGAAGTGCCAGCACTTCAGGGAGACTTACCCTACTACACCATGGCACAAGTCCTAGGCAGCTATTTTTACAACAAAACACCCAAATGAATCCAAGTCTAAATCCAGAGAACAGAGAAATGCAACATTTATACATAGTTTATTGTAACATAATAGATAAGGTTTTTAACCACTGCTAGGATTAACAAAATGAATCAATTTTAAAAATGTAACATCATATGAAGAAAGCCAAAGCACAAAAGGCATATAGTATCACTTCATTTATAACAAGATAAAAAATGGGGAAATTAAATCATGGGGAACAACTAACAAAATTCAGAATAACAGCAAATCAGGAGGGATGGAAAGCTGAGATTAGATGAAACAAGTGCCAAACTGAGATCTTCTAAACTATTAGTAACATTCTTTTTCCACCTAGACTTGAACGTAATACTAAGAAAAACACATTTACACGTCTTTTTTTTTTAGTAATATGTATTTGATAGGCAGAGTTATAGTGACAGAAAGATATTCCATCTGCTGGTCTACTTCCCAAGTGACAGTCACAGTGACAAGGTTGAAGCCAGAGACTGGAACTCCATCCTGGCCCCATGTGGGTGAGGGTCCAAGAACTTGAGCCATCTTCTGTTCATTTTCCAGGCATATTAGTAGGGAGCTGGATAGGATATGGAGCAGACGGGACTGGAATTGGTACTCTTAGTTTAGGTAACAGATAAACCTACTGTGCCAACAATGGCAGCCCCTGAGTACTACATTTTAAAAAGCAAATTTAGATAAATTGATACAACACATATTATTAAGTTAAAAAAATTTAAAAACTGCAATACAGATTGGCCTTGAGTCATAACTGCTAAAACAACATAGTGGTTGGTAGGCAGGTCTCAGGGAGCTTCTGTCCAGCAGGCACTGTCTACGGGGTGAGGTGACAGTCTCCTTCTGCAGCAGAAACACTGGAGACAAACTGGCACTGAGGGAATGTCCGTTTATTTGAGAGAAGTCACAAACCTATATATGGTGGGAAAAGGTCACAGGCAGAAGGTGGTCCCAACAGTACTTCCACCTAGCAACAACACTGTGATTGGCTAGCAGGTATGTCTATCTCTCTGGACCCTCCAATGAAGTTAAAGGTCAGAAAGCACAGAGAGCTGTGTCTTGAGGCAGGCTCCTTGCCCACTGAAAAACAGGATGAATATAACATTTGACTTACTACAGTTGTTTACAAAGGAAGTTCTAGCATAGTTCTTTAAAGAGGCAGAAGAGAGAGACTGGGGTGCAGCCCATCGCTCTTGTTGCAGAGACTGGAGTGCAGCCCATTGCTCTTGCTGCATGCACAGTGAACAGGCCACATTTGGGTCTCAGCCAGCCGAGACTCCTGTCAGGGGTCCCCTTTGGAGAAACAGTATGCCATATGCCTATGGCATCCCACATGGGCTAGGCAGGCAGAGATCCAGGGGCAATCTCCCACAGGCAGGTGGGATATCCTTTCATTCTTCTCTCCATTTTTGTATAGGTATGAAGTGAGCAATAATAAAATTTCTTACAAAATCAGTTGTTTATCTTGAAAGGCAGAAATATGGAACTCACATCTGCAAGGTTCACTCCTCAAATGCCGCAATGTCCTAACCAACAAAGACAGGAACCAAATCTAGGCCTCTTGCATGGGTGGCAGGTATCAACCAACTTGACCCATCAGGAAGTGGAAATTCCAGGGCACAAATGAGTATTTATTTCAAGAATCAGAAACCTAGCTCTCTAACTTATAATACAGAAAGATGAAAAGAACAGTTTCCTATCTGAAAAACAACAAATGCTAGAAAATTTATAGATTCACCTTGATTCTCAACCCCATGAGAAAGCTGATGCCAGGGCCCACATCAGCTTGCAACACTGGTACCCAGCATTAGAGCACCAGTTTGAAACCTGGCTGCTGCAGCTCCAAGCCAGCTCCCTGATAAATGTGCCTGGGAAAGCAGTAAAACACAGCCCAACAACTGGGCCACTGTCACAAAGTACTTGGGTTTCTGCCAGGTGGGAGACTCAGATGGAGTTCCTGGCTCCTAGCTTCTGTCTGACCCAGGCCCAGCTGTTGAAACCATTGGGAAGTGAACCAGAACTTTAGAACAAGAAATATTATTAGTGACAGTACAGATACATGATATAATGTAGATGAACTTTGAAACATCATGGTAAATGAAAGCCAAACATAAAAAGCTACATAGTACGTGATTCCACTGATATGAAGTATCCAGAAAATGGACATCTATAGTAACAAAAAGTAGTCTGTGGGTTTTCAGGGACCTAGAAAACGGAAAAAGGAATGCTTGATACAGGGTTTCATTTGGGGATAATGAACTAGTCTGATGTGGTAGTTACACAATATTGTGCACATACCAATCACTTTAGTGTTCACTTCAACATGGTTGACTACTATACATTAAAGAACTTGTTAAGAAAGTAGGTATCATGTTAAGTATTGTTACTACAATAAAGCTAAAAAGAAAAAGGCTTGCTAGGGGAATGATTATGCAACAATGCAATTCCACCCCCTCTCAGGTTCCAGGTGATGACAGGTAAATATCACAGGTGGGCAGAAGGGACTACATGGGGGGGGGGGGGGGGGGGGGGGGAAGTGACTTCCAAGCTGATGACCCTGAACAAGCTGCCTAAGACCGCAACAAACCTAGAGATCAGTAACAGAACATTATGTTGGAAATTCTCAAATATTTCCAAACTTTACACTTATAAATCCCATGAATGAAAAATGAAACAAAAGGGAAATTAGAAAATATTTTGAAATACTTAAATAACTCAAAATAAAAGTACATTATCAAAATTCCCTCCACACAATGCACAGAAATAGATTTAAATATATATACTCAAAAAAGAAAATCTCAAAATTAGTCTAAGCTTCCACATTAACAAAGGGTGAGATCCACAAACAGTTAAGTCAAAAGAAGGTAAAAGGAAATAAGAGCTGAGAAGAACTGAAGACATGAAAACTACAGAGAAAAAACAATGGTACCAAGTTTGTGACACAAGCCAGTGAAAAATGTAAATGTTGGCCACAGAAAAAATAGTTTACAAATGCGAAAAAGGAAAAAAAAAGGATATTACTACAGACACCACAGACATTTAAAGGTAACAAAGGGCTAGCAGAACAACTCTAGAAAATGGACATACTCCTTGAAAGGTGCAAGCAAAAGAGCATCTACGAAAAAATAGATAATCTGAATAGTTCTAATAAAAAAAACTGAATTGTAGTTTAGAATGCTCCCATAAAGAAACTTCACAGTCTCAGTTGTTACACTGTTGAATTCTACCAAACAATGAGAGAATAACTCTAGATCTAAACTCTTCCCATATGTGAGAATAAGCAGCACATTTAAGGAAAGCAATATTAATATGACACCAAAATGGGAAGACATTACACAACAACTGGAGAACAGCATCTCTCAAAACTATGGACGCATACAAAAAAGCAAATCAAATCCAACAATATGCAAAGGGATAATATATCCTAATTAAATGGGGTTTCATCCCAGGAAACCAAAGCTGCTTCAGCATTTGAAAATCAATTACTGTGACTTACCATTTCAATAAATGAAAAATTTTAAATGTGTTGTCATTTCAACAAGTGTACAAAAAGCCTTTGATAAAGTCTACAACTGTTCATGACCTTAAAAATTCCCAACAAAGCAGGAATAAAAAAGAACTTCCTGAATCTGATAAAGGATACAAAAACATACTACTGGTCAAAGAGAGAATATTTATGCCTACAATCATGAACAAGGCAAGCCAGTCCGTCCACTTCTACCACTTCTGTTCATCACTGCATTGGAACTTCAGTAAAGCAATACAAAACAAGACAATAAAAGACATACAGAATGGAGAGGATGAAATAAGAAATGATGTTTCATACCTATTTCTATAGCATCATTGATTTTTTTAAGACATAGCATATTAGAAAAGTTACATTTAGTGTTTTTAGTATTTACAATTAAATTTTTGGCAATACTTCTAAAAAATTACCTTACCTCCTCTACAAAAGAAATTAAAATGTATTATTAAAATACTCCTATTTGGCATTATTATTGTGATGCAGTATTAGGCCATCACTCACAACACGGCATCACCTATTGGATTGCCTGTTCAATTTCCTGAATGCTCTGCTTCCAACACAGCTCCTTGCTAACGTCCCTGGGAAAGCAGCAGAGGATGATCCAAGTGCTTGGGCCCCTGCCACCCATATGGAGACCCAGATGGAGTTCCAGGACTACACTGCTCCCAGCCACTGCAACATCTGGGGAGTGAAACAGCAGATGGAAGATATATTTCTCTGTCTTTTTGTCATTCTACCTTTCAAATAAACGAATAATTAACGCTGAAAGAAAAATTCCTGTCTAATCAAGTATATTCTTAATTAAATTTAGATATGAAGAGTACACAGCTTTAAATGTTAAAGCTGTGCCAGCTTTTAAAATCATCCACATTTCTAAGCATACATGTGTTAAGAACATATTCCCATCATCAGGCATGCGATGTGTCTAAGTAAAGTATCTCACAGTATGTAGCACACCTTACTTGCCTTACAAAAGAGTGTTTATTTCACACTTACAAAAAGTAGCTATCAGAAAAATCAAAAGGAAGGAAATATGACATCAATAGTTACTTAAACTTTATTTTAAATGCACACATTTCAAAGAAACAAAAATTTCCAGGTACTCAGTACAACATTATCAAATAAAACAATTCAGAATTATTTTAATGTGTATACAAGTAACAGTAAAAAGCACATGTTTAGGATATATTATATAATTTGTTTTGAGGTTTTGAAACACAATGTTTTTGGTTTTAAAATTTTGATACCAATATACATTGGAACATTCAAGTAACACATTTTTCAAAACTTTGATTTTGGGGGATCATAAACTAAATTAACATAGAACTCTAAGACAACCTGCCTTTACCACGCTCTTCAAAGTAGTGCTGCTCAATTCTTCTGCAGAAAGCAAGGAGGTTACTATAGTTTTTCACCTTCTCAGAAAGTTCATCATTGGTCAACTGGGTAGTAAGAATAGTATACAAATGGCCAAATACTAGTGCATCAAGTTCAGTAGGCCTAAAAAAATGGAAATGAGAGCAACTTAACTAATACAGTAGAAAACAGTTTTTAAAATATTTTATTCATTGTTTTAAAAGAAAAAAAGTCATATAAGAAATCAGTATAATTTGAAAAACTGTTTTTGTTTAGTTATTAAAAACAACTTATGGCTTACAAGTTATATAATTTGCTTTTTTAAAAAAGTAGTATTCTTTAAACATTGCAAATGAATATAGAATAACAGATCATATTCTTTTATTGCTTAACTTACCAGATAAAACCGGCAGGTCTCCAATGTGCCAGGAACTTTGTCAAGTAAACGTGTGTATGTATTTATATGTATGTGTGTGTGTAGATACTCTAAATTACCACAATTTACTAAATATTTTAATAGATAACATGAACAAAAGGCTTTGAAGGCAGAGAGGATTCGGTTGTGATCCTTGCACAACAAAACTGTGATTATCCAATCACATAGCGCCAACATGATATAAACTTAATTTTACCACTTTTAAAAGAATTTAGATTTCTAAAGGACACATAAAGATGGTTCCAACATAAAATTTTCCAGTTTTCCTGCTTCAATTATATGTTACTAACAAGAAAGTGAAATCTATTCTATCACCAATGCTTTATAATGCTTTATCATCAATCTGTATTATATTAATTACTAATGCAAGATTACTAAAAGGAGAAAATATCATAATTATGAATTATTGCTGCTAGTCTCATAATAATAAAGCTTTTGAAAACACAGATACTAGCCTATCTAAATATGAAAACATACTTCAGTTATCTAATTTGGCACAGTAGATTTGGGGGATCACTGAGATCTAAATTAGAATCCTTCCAGGTGCTGGGGGACTTGATGGCCACTGATGAATGAGCTCGTGAAGTTGTGTGGCTTTAAATAGTATCTTCACTTCACTACCTCTAAAATTAAGGAGTTCTACAGAAGTCTGTGGAAAACATGTACTATGAAAAAAAAAAGGCATGAATTTCAAAATTTGTACCAAAATGAATTTAACTTTTAATTCCATTATCCATGAACTTTCTGAAATACTTGTGTCATATTCTTTTCCCTAAATTCTAGATTCATACAATTAAATTCTAGATTCATACAATTAAAGGCCTTCATAACATCTCAACTTCAGAATTAAATAAGTATCTCAAATCTATTTGTCCCCCATTTCCCCAAACATTATTTACCCAGTTGCTCAAGACAACGTTCTAAGGGCAACCCTTGAATCCTCTTTTCCCCTCACCCTTCCTATAACCCTAAGTAAGTAGGCTGAGATACCTCCAAATATGCCCAGAACACCATCACTTGTCTCATTTTTACCTTCTAGTCTGAACTACCATCATCTCTCACCTGGAGCAGAGCAACAATCTTCTAATTACTTCCTCCTACTTATTCTGCATACCACTGCCAAAGTGGCTCTTTTTTGTTAATGCCATCAAATCTCAAAATTGCATGCATAAGATATTCCAATGGACTTCCATTCCACTTGTACTAAAATGACCAACTCCTTACATAAGGATACAAAAACTTAGATGATCTGCCACCCATATACCTCTTCTACCTCTCCTGCTAGTCTCAACACACAATCAAAGCTGGCTCTGCTTCCTTCATCTGAGCACAGCAAACTAAGGCCAATCTTGAAACCTTGACATAAGTTATTCCTTTGTTTTCTGGAATATTCTTCCCCGACTTACATGTTGGCCCTTTCTTGTAGTTTTTGTTGTTACTGTTGTTTTAGAATAAGGCTTAAGTGTTACATTTTCATGCCTGACCACACAAACTGAAGCGGACATAGTCACTATCATATCATGTGACCCCATTTAAATTCTCTATGTAACACTTAACACTATATAATAGTTGTTGTTTATTGTGTGTCTCTTCCACCAGAATGTGACAGAAAAGACCTTCTTTTCTCACTATATTCCTAATCTCTACAACAATGCCTGGCATAGGTGGGTTCCATGAATAAATAGAAAAATGACACACACATCAAGCTCTTTAAAGGCAACCTGGCAAACAGCATTTGCTTATGACTAAAGCAGATGGGTTATTTTTTTATACTATTGATGCACATTCTTTCAAAGTCTTCTTTCACACTCCATGAATTATTTGTCAAAATCAGAAATGTAGTCTACAGCTAAGTTAAGAGGGTAGCAAACAGGACTGCTGAAAATATGACCAGTGTCCTTAGACTCAATAGTTTCAGAATTTCATTTTTATAGGCAAAGAATCAATAACAGATTCCTTGATCAGACAAGAATTTAGTGCGGAAAACTGGAGCTCTGAAACACACTGATACCTAATATGAACACCAATTCTTCCACATATCCCTAAACGTATTTCTGAAAAGGTGGATCTATCTCACCAATATGGCATTTTTCCCCTGATCTAGCTAACCACTACTTCTTGTACAAGGGCCTAAAAAAGGTGAATATGTGCCCTGAACAGGCTTTCAGCAGTGTATATGGGCACTCTTTATTGGTAAATGAAGATTCCAAATAAGTTCAGATATGAAGGTGTGCTGAAATCAGAGCATTTCCCAAGCACTCCTGAAGAAGTCAAAATAGTAACATTGGCACAAACATTAGCACATCCATATCATTCTAAAGATGCTAAATTATATATGGGTATAAGCACCCAAAAATTGACTTGCTGTTACATACAGATAGCAACCTTATGGAAGTTGCTTTAGAACATCTATCAGGAAGCAGAACACTATAGATTAAAACAAAGCACACATATACATAATTTTAAAGCATATTTTTTTGAAACTTTCCTCCTTACATTGATTCTGCTGTAAATGATGAATGCTCACAATTGTTTCTTTCAGAAAAGTACACTTATGATGGCAGTTACCCAATTGTAGGCTATGGTAAAATTCTGAACTACACAGATAAAATGGTCACTTTTTACCACAGAAAAATTACACCTCATAAACCTGACATACAAAAAAGACAATAAATTAAGAAAATATTTGTAATTCATTTGAAAGACAAAAATACAAAAAATAAATTTTCCAGTATTACTACTGAATTGAACTGAATTTCTACTGAATTGAACTTTCTACTGAATCAAGCCAAGAACTTCATGTAGTTCCAGAGTTTTAATTATCTTGCCATATCACAAGGAGAAAAAAATAATTTTCTACTCTTACGGTTTACCAATTGGTTTGTGTACTATCACTTGGATAGAAGTAGGAATTTTCCGAAGGGTTCTAAGAAGTTTCAAATATGTTGTTAAATTTATAGACTTCATATTAAAAAAATAATCCAGAGTGATAAATATATTTTCAAAGTCCTGAGAAATCTGCTCCCTTCTTTTTGTGCATTATTATTATTCTTTCCACATTTCTGTGTTTATCTTCCACTCTTTCACTTGAATAACATAAACAGTATTAGAAACGTGAGCATTTTCCTAAACTTCTCCAGTTTAAATTTTTATAGTGCTCATGTTTTTTGTTTTCTTTACTTATTATTATTTCATCTTTCTTTCTTCTTTATGACAACTTTCAAAATATTATCTAGTTCCAAAATCATTAATATTGTCTGGATGTTTTTTTAATTTTTCTCTTCCAATATATTACTGTCATTTCTGTACACTACTGGAAATAATCTACAGATCTTTTCTTTATATACCAATCACCCAAGTGACAATTTTGACAATGACTATTTCTTGCTGCAAACCCTCCCTTAACTATCCTCTTCTCATCGCAGCTGGTGAAGTCATGTGGTTTCTATCCTCAGATCTTCATCATGCCTAGCAGGTAAGCTGGGAGGAAGTTGGCTCTAATTTTAGAGGGTAAAAATGAAGATACATAGAAAGCTAACAGCAACCAGGCCATCGGTATACTTTAAAGCAAAAAATAAAATCCAGGGTTCTAACCTGGAGCTTAATATTATATACTTCCTCTTTTAACTAAGTATCTCACAAAGCAATAACACCTGCTACAGATAAAGAAATGGAAAAAATTTTACTGTAACCAAGTGAATACAAGTTACCATTTCCTAAATGTTACTTATTTGCATTTTAAAATGAACTAAATGACTGGATAAAATTAAAATTTAAATCTTTTGCAAACTTCACTTTTTACTATTTATTAGCAGAATGGGCAGCAGTAGGGTAAAACTGACTTTAAAATCTACATCTTATTACCAATTAAACAACTCCTCAAAACTAAACCTTTGGTTTTGCCATTGTTCTACATCTGAATTTATTACAACATTAAATATAAGTATATCCTTATGAAAAAGAATTGTACCTTGACATTTTCTGTGTTTCACGTACCAAATGTTACTAACACATGAACAATGAGTTTAACTGAGAAGAAAACTGAGTTAGATTCATTCTTCTGTCTTCCACTAAAGATAGCATAAACAACAAAATTAATTCTTAAGACAAAATAATGTACCTCAAATAATAAACATACTCTTGCTGAGCTTTTCAAATCCTAAGAATTACAATGTCCAAAGGATAAGGAACTACATAATGCTCACATCTGGATGATTTCTTTTGTCTTGGGAACTAAGCAATCTGCACAGCAAGCATCATAAAAAACAGGAACCAGTTGTCAAATCTTTACCATGATTTCAGGGTGTGACTCTGACCTCTCAACAATCAATAGGCCTCAAATTTAATTTTAATTAAGTTATATATTTATATATATATATACACACACACACACTATTTGTGTTGTAATATAAGTGCTTTTAAGTTATCAGATATTTTTACTTATAAAAATTAATAGCTTTAGAAAAACATGTTTGGAGATGGATATAGAAGATGAATGTCTACAAAGATAATAAATAACAGCAAATAAAGCCTTTTAAAAATTATCAATGTAAAAACCAAACAATTTTCATTGAAAAGTCAAGAAAAAGTCCAACTCACTAAGTAAACCACAGATATTAAAGTAGCTTAATTTAAGCTTATAGTATACATAATCAGCATAGATAGCTAACTCCTATATAAAAGAATTATATTTTTAATAAAGGAAAATTCATTGTGAGGCCTACTGTAGAAAATCTTTTTAAAGTTGCAAAAAAAATCTATAAATAAACATGAGCTATTCCATTTACATATACATAAACATATACATAGATCTATATCCTTTATATTCAATGTGTCTTATAAACATTTAAATTTACTTCCAAAAGGTGAGTTTCATTATCATTTGACTATCATTTTATTGTTCGGCTTTATTGACTTTTCTAGTACCCAAGGTCACTCCTACATAGATAGCTATGGTTGCACTAATATCATTTTTTTGTTTGTATGTAGTACATATTTGGAATTCTGCTAAGATATTGTTATTCTACACATAGTACCTTGAACAGTCTCTGGGAATCTTTATCACCTCATACTTCAATTAAGAGAAATTCTTAATGATAAAGACATTTTAGAAATTATAGGTCACTAGAACCTAGTATCATTCCTGACAGCCAGGAGGTGCTAAGTAACATTAATGAGTGCAAAAGTGTATTTTTCCATAAATACTTCTTAAAATAGTAATTTAGAATAACAGAAATACAAAGCCTAAAAATAAAAGGACTAAAATTAAAATAAAAAAATAAATAGACTTTCTTACTGCTTATTGAAGAAATATGGCTGTGTTCCCAGTCTTTGAGAAAGAGCTTGACAGCATTGGTCTACGTCTTCTAAGACCTAATGAAGACAATGGGCCCAAAAATAAGCAAATAAATACACTGCAAGAAGCAAAACAGTAAAGTGCATCTAAAACAATTTATGTCACAGTGGATGACAAGCATGCAAATTTAGGTTAACTGTTTATGTTTAAATCAGATTACCATAAAAATGACACATATAAGAAAAAGGATGTAATTCTGGGAGCAAATTTCCTCTGCATATAAATACATCTAAGTTATTTATAAGGATTACTATCCAGAAAGTTTTTCTGTATAAGTTCTAAAATAACATTTTCCTGAATGCATACATCCAAATAATTTTGTAGATATTTTTAAGAATCTGCTTTATGAATTTGACACTGTTGGTACACCATAAATAAAATCAATGAAGTTGTTTTCCCACTAGAGGACATGAATTTTATTTACTTCATCTCTGTTCATTTCCTTGATCCCCTTGTGGCCAACAGCATGTATCAGTGAAATGGTTGGCTAGGGCTAGCAATAGCCTTGACAAAGAGACATTAATTAGCTTAACAATGATCAAACTTATAATCTGTACAAGATGCATGTTTTCAAACTGTGCTACTTTGGTAAATTTAACACCAAAGAAAAACAGACAAACTAAGCACTGCACTAGATTTAATAGTTTTCTTTTAAACGCCCTGAAGCTGCAAATCTATAGTTATTGACATAAAATATTATCACCCTATATTATGCAATGGAAAAAATTCAGATTACATCAGCAGGAATATTATTCATTTATAGAAAATGTTACAAAGAGACATTGAGATGACTACTCACCAAAGAAAGGACAGCAGCAATTTCTGGGTGGTAGGGTTTTAGATGATTTTTTTTTCTTCTATACTTTTCTACACTATATGATTTGCTTTGTAAAAAGCACAATTTTTATTAAAAAACTACTTAAAGTAAGAGAAAATAATAGCTGTTTTTGCTACTTTTGTACAATGCTAGGTTCTTACACAAGAGAATCAATAAAAATCAGGAACTTCTAATTAATGCAGAAAACCTTGAATGTCTTATTAACATTAACCTAAACTGACCTGGTCCAGAGTCTTGTTACCCCATCCTATGGCTTTCATTTTGCGTTTGATTTCCCATTGTTTCTGATAGGCCAGAATATGATTCAAGGGCCAGGGGTAAGGAGATCCATATCTGGCATGGGTGATCTAAAGCAAAAAAAGATGTTGTCAGAAACATTGTTCCTAATAACAACGCTCACTGGTTTTTATAAACAGAATTCTAAAATAAACATTTTCAGAAAACATAGAGTACTTTGAAAAAAATATGTAAGTTACAATCCAAACAATTAAAATTTTAAACCATTCCCTTTAAAAATATATAAACTCTTATGTACTTTGCAACCAGTTATATCAAACAATGACACATAGCTTCCTTAAAATGTATGTGCAAGCAAAATTAAAGTAAGTGAAAAACTATATCACTAATGGTATAAACCACAATGTTTCATTTATGAGCAGGGACTTGCAATTCTGAGCAAAAGTGTTTTCTCATTAAATTTTAATTAAGATAAATGCTGCAGATCCACTCACCTCCCCGACTGTAGCTTCATCACACCACTGAAGATACAACTAGGAACAAAAGAATAGTCACTAAAACTTTAGAATACCAAAAGGGAAATGGAGAAAGGAAATTATTTCTTGCCCTGCTAAATTGTTAAAAGCCAACTTCGTCAGTCACATAGCGAAGAGCTGCTTTTCTCCCCGAGTTAATGTTCTATACGGTCATTAAATAATGGTGGCACTAAATAAAAATATTTCTTATTCACTGCACCTTTAAAATCGTTAAAGAATTTCAGAGGCAATAATAAAGTAAATGTCAGAAGACCAAAGTAAAATCAGGAGTTGACTAAAAAAAAAGAATCACCTCTCTTTCAGTCTGTATAACCACCTCAGCCCTAGAATCACTTCACTGTGCTCCACTTCTAACTTTTAAAAAGAGTCCATGAGAAAGATTATATTTAGTGAGAGAATACCAACTTGAAAAGGTCACAGATAATTCCCAGTCCTACTATCATGTGTTGTACCTCTGCAGTCAGCAGCATGTTGTTGACTAACTCCATATAAGCTTTCATTTCTGCTTTCTGAACTTCATCCAGCCCATCACTAAGAGAATGGCCCTAAAAGGAATACACAAAACTTTTAGTCACCTCACAGACAAGTAATACAACAAGCACAAATCCAACAAATTAATTTCCAGAATGCCTCACAAAATAAATTTATTTAAAGGTAGACCTAATATTCTATCACTATAAAACACTAGTGAGTAGTTTTTATGTTTCCATACAGAAGTATTTTCCAATGGACAAAATCACGTCATCAACTACTTCACCAAAGAAAATAGAACAGTCAATAAAACTTGTGATTTTTGTTTAAATGACTGACATGGCTTCCTTCTAAGGTAATTGAAAATGGAAAAAAAAAAAAAAGTTGGTGGAAAAAATAAGAAATATGCATTAATTTTAAATTCTAATGCATTGTGGTAATGAGTAGACAATGATAGGGTAAAACCTTTAACTAAATCTGGCAATTTGTTTGTAAGGTTGTTAAAATGCATACCCCATGACATCCCAATAGTTCTTTGGGAAGTTATCCTAAGGGGATGGAGAACTATACACAGGTATATATTCAAAGAAATTTATCATGTTATTAGAGCAAAAAACAAGGCCATAATTTAAACATTATACTAATAAAAACATAGAATAGTTTTAATATACATCTGACACAAAAGAATATCACACAACAATTTAAAAGTATGACACAGAGACCAGCACAGTAGCCTAATGGCTGAAGTCCTTTCATGCACCAGGATCCCATTTGGGTGCCAGGTCACATTCCGGCTGCTCTACTTCCCATCCAGCTCCCTGCTTGTGGCCTGGCAGAGCAGCAAAGGATGGCTCAAGGCCTTGGGACCCTGCACCCACTTGGGAGACCTGGAAGAGGCTCCTGGCTCCTGGCTTTGGCTGGGCTCAGCTCCGACTGCTGCGGCCAGATAGGAAGTGAATCAGTGAACAGAAGATCTTTCTCTCTGTATATCTGACTTTCCCATAAGAATAAATAAATCTTAAAAAAAAGTATGATGATTCCTATATATCAGTAGTCAAGAACATGAAGGAGTTTCCAAACATGCTGTTGACTTTAAAAGACCTATTGCAAATCAATACATATTGCTAATTAACACATTTTATGATCTATGCTTTTCTGTATATGCAAAAACCAAAATTCTCATAAGCACAAGTTAGAAAATTATCTGCCATTTTGTAAAGACCAAGCTACCTATTTTGTCACTGACTTACATTACAAAAAAAGATCAACTTACATTTTTTAATATTTTCCAGTGGTTTGTATTGGCATTTTATATAACTGTTAAAATCCACATAAATGTCAAGACACACTAAAGAATGATGAATGTCTTATTCTAGAGTAAATGTGATCTAATACATTTAATATCTTTATTACCTTTGCTTTAACGAATTGGACTATTGGACCAAGTTCTGAAACTACTTGATTTCCCACATGAATAAAAGGCACTTTACCTGTTAATGGAAAAAAATGTGCAAAAGCATTTCAATACATTAAAGTTTATGTTAAGAAGTTAACACAAAACTCAGAAGTGTTTATTAATAGAAGGGTTCCATAAAACTATAACCTTTAGAAATCATAATTAGATGTGTATTTTAAGCTCTTTAAATAATCTTTAAAAACTACTATCCAATTTCAAAACAAAAGAAAAAACACAATGAATTCATTTATAAAATTCTCAAGAGGATATAATAATCGATCACAATATTCCCTTTTCATAGCTAGCACTAAAAAATCACAGCAGTAACCACCAAATATCCAAATCACACAAGCCAGGCTAAGGTACTGGTTCAATGATCACTGACAGGTTTGAAAGAAATTTGACTGAGTTTTCTTTTCTCATCAGGACACAAATCCATCTTTTTTACAACTTATATCTAGTAAGCCTTTTTACCCTCTCAAATTTTAAATATGATTTTCATTAAGCTGAGTATTTTAAACACATAATGGTACAAAAACAAACACCCTTGAATCCAAATTTGAAGAATTTTTAAAATCATTCATCTTTGATAGTATATAAAATTGTAAATTATAATACAAAGTATATTTCCAATGCATGAGGGGGAAAGAAACAAGCATTATGATTATCAAAACTGGTTTATTTAAATAAATGCCACACTAAAAAAGAATATTTCATTTTAATAACTACTTAATGCGATTACCAGGGCCGAAGAGACCAAAACAGTCTCTTAAAAGCCCAGGCTTATTCCAAATGCCCAATGTTAAAACTTGCTGTCATTCCTAGTTCAAACAGAGTTCACACTGCTAGCAGGCTTCTTCCTGTTCCTTTTCAATAGATGTTTCTCCTCTCTGGTTCAGTCTGCCTGGGGGTAATGGATGAGACGCACAGCATCAACAAAAGCTTCGTCCATATCCATGGGGGTGCACACTTCACAAAGGAAAAGCCAGAGTTCTGGACCACAGCAACTCAACAGACGGACTTAGAAACCACTTCCTTCTTACCAGTTCTCCACTTCTTCCTGCTACTGCTTCACAGGTCTTTTTTAAAAGGGATCTCACTAAGTAATGGGTCATACTGTTTCATAAATTTGCTCTAAAATCTTTGGAACCACTATATTATACAATACTACTACAGTTAGTAGAGATCCTAAGAAAATCTATGAAAAACTAGTACCTAGAATAAAACAATATGGGGACATACATCATTTTTAGAGCAAAGTAGATTTCTCCTTTTCTTTAACCAGTTTCAGATTCACAGGAAAAAAAATGTTTGATTATTATTTTTAAAGATCATGAAGCAAGGAAGCAGTGTAAGTAACCAAATAAGTAACATATAGAAGGAGATATATAAAAACCAAACAACAAATTTGAAGTGAATGTTTTCTGATGCAAGAAATAGCCGATATCACATCCTAAATATTGCAATTATCAAGTAAAGGCAGAGATCGTTATTGTCTGGCACTAATAAAAGATCATTAAACTAATAATGAGTTGTGCTTTTCACTCTGGGCAGAATACTAACCTTTAAAACTTACTTCCAAAGTAAATACAAAGTAAATGAGAATAAACTGCCAAGCAAGTTTGTAGTTTTAGAGAATATTCAAAATGGAAAGAACCTTAGTTGTCATCTAATCTGACAACCTCATATAACAAATGCCTGTCACTAAGACTAAAGGAAGAAAAAAGGAATTTACAAAGCAAACAGCATTTGACAAAGTCAGAGAGGAATTAAAGATCCTGTGTCTCGGGCTTGGCGCCATGGCCTAGTGGCTAAGGTCCTCGCCTTGAATATGCTATGATCCCATATGGGCACCGGTTCTAACCCCGGCAGCCCCGCTTCCCATTCAGCTCCCTGCTTGTGGCCTGGGAAAGCAGTCGAGGACGGCCCAAAGCCTTGGGATCCTGCCCCCGCGTGGGAGACCTGGAAGAAGTTCCTGATTCCTGGCTTTGGATAGGCACAGCACCGTTCATGGCGGTCACTTAGGGAGTGATTCATGGGACAGAAAATCTTCCTCTTTGTCTCTCCTCTCTGTTTATCTGACTTTGCAATAAAAGTAAAAATAAGTGTTTAAAAAAAAAAGATCCTATATCTCTTAGCCAACTGGTCTTATGAAAATTCCAGTCTCTACTTTAAAAATCTTTCATAAGGGTCCAGCACAGTAGCCTAGTGGCCAAAAGTCCTTGCTTTGCATGTGCCAGGATCTTCCTCCCTGTCTCTCTTTCTCTCTGTATATCCGACTTTCCAATAAAAATAAATAAATCCTTTTAAAAATCTTTCATAAAACATCAAATAAAATTTTTTTAATTTCCAGATCATTCTAAATCATGATAAAAGGAATAATTCGAAGTATAATAAAATGTAAATATCATGTTAGAGATAGACATTTTCTTTCTTTCTTTAACTATTTTCTTTCATTTTCTTTATTTAGAAAACTAAATTCAATGGAAATTAAATAATCTAGCCATCAAAGACTCCTATGAATGAATACATATGCATATGCATATACTACTTATGTGTCTGCAATATTTATATTTGCTTTCCATACTTTAAAACAAGAGGTATCTACTGGGTATAGAAATTGAAAAACAGATGAATGAACTACATGATTTCTCGACAAAGATTTTGAAATTAGTATCAGACTACCAATAGATACCTTTTTGTAAGTGTTCATAACAATTTTGAATCACTATGCAGAAAAATCTAAATAAGACACAAAATAATTTATGTCACCAGAATTCAGTAAAGCTTATAAAATCTTATGTATAAGATCAACACAAAAATGAATCATGAATGTCCTCCAAGAACCCAAGATATGTTAACACTTATAGGTACAGAAATTATTTTATAGGAGGAAATGTTGCTTCATGGGTAGTAGGATAAAGCTAATTAAAAGTGATAGAATTTTATTGCATAGTAGGGTCACTACAATTAATATTAATGTACTATAAATTTTTCTATTAAATTAGGGACATTTTCAACATTAAAATATTAAATCTCTGAAGAGATAAATATATTTATCCCGATTAGACATCCCATAAATGTACACATGTACAAAACATTACATAAAACCCCACGAAATAGTACAACGTCTAAATTTTTTTTAAAGATTTATTTTATTTGGGGCCCAGCACAATGGCTCAGTGACAAAATCCTTACTTTGCAACCACCAGAATGGGCACCGGTTCATATCCCAGTTGCTCTACTTTCCTTCTAGATCTCGGCTTGTGGCCTGGCAAAGCAGTGAAGGATGGCCTGGCAAAGCAGTGAAGGATGGCCCAAAGCTTTGGGATCCTCTGTGTGGGAGAATGGTAGCAGCTCCTGGCTTCAGATGGGCTCAGTTCCAGCTGTTGTGGACACTTGGAGAGTGAACCAGTGGATGGAAGATCTTTCTCTTTGTATCTCCTTCTCTCTGTAACTTGCCTTTCCAATATAAATAAGTATCTTTTAAAAATAAAAACATTTATTTTATTCAAGGAGCAGGGTGATGCGAATGATCTGAAAAAAGACAAGGTAGACTGACTGACAGGGCCTCCATCCGCAAATGGCCACAACGACCAAGGATGGGCTGGGCCATAGCCAGCAACCCAAAACTCCGTCCATGTCTATCTGAGGGGTACAGAGACCCAAGGACTTGAGACATCTTCCACTGCTCCCCCATGCTCATTAGCTTTTTAATGTGAAGTCATGCAACCAGTACTGAAACAGTACTCCAATATAAAATGTCTGTGCTGAAACAATGGTTCCAGCAATAACAATTTAAAATAGAAAGATAGATATATATCAGATTGATTTAAAAAAGTGACATAGAGAGAAGGAAAGAACAGACAGAGTCTCCATCAACAGTTCACTCTACATATGGCTGCAACATCCAAGACTGGAAGCCAGAAGCCTGGAATTCCACTGTCTCTTTGGTGGGTGGCAGGGACCCAAGGGATTGGGCCATCTTCTACTGCTTTTCGAGCAAGCACAATATCAGGGAGCTATACTGGAAGTGGAGCAAAAAGCACCCCCTATACCTCCAGGCCCCTTCTAGGCCCCTTCATAATTTCTTTTTAAATATATATATTTATTTATTTGAAAGGCAGAATGATACAGAAATAAGAGAAAGTATAACTTTGATATGATAAATTTTTCTTTAAAAACGTTTAATTCCTTTATAGAAATGTCTTCTAAATGCAAAAGTACAAACTTAGTAAATCTATGCATTCACACAAAATTTTCAGTCTTTATGGGATGTTGTAGCCCTACATTTTATAACCTTTTTTTTTTTAAGATCATTTATATTTATTGGAAAGGCAGAGAGAAAGGTCTTTCATCTGCTGGTTCACTCCCCAAGTGGTCACAACAGCTGGAGCTAAGTCTATCTGAAGCCAGGAGCTTCTTCGAGGTCTCCTACTCGGGTACAGGGTCCCAAGGTTTTGGGCCATCCTTCATTGCTTTCCCAAGCCATAAGCAGGGAGCTGGATGGGAAATGGAACAGCAGAGATATGAACCAGCATCCATATGGGATCCCGGTGCTTGCAAGAAGAGGATAAGATAATTGAGCCATCATGCTGGGCCCTACAGTTTATAACTATTACTCACTTTCCAGGAATGTAAAGTGAAAAAAAAAATGTTTAATATAAGTCACTCCTAAGTTATCACCATATCACAGCGAAAACAAGGTGTTTCCCAAAAAAAGCTATATTAACCCACATCAATCAGTTACTCCCAATAATTTATTCGTGAAAGAATGATTCTATGAGTTATTATTGCTTAAGCAAATAAGCCAGTCTCAAAAAGGCAAATATCATGTTTCCTGTCATTTTTAGCCTGTGTCTATACACCCATAGAAATGTGACCTTCCTACTCCTTACTTTTTGAATATTACGGTTAGTGGAAAAAATTAAACCTTTGATACAGAGTAGATTAAAACTTGCTTTTGCAAAAACTGATGCAGAAAGAAAGGAGGCCCAGCAGTAGGCAACTGCCTATATTGCCTTGTACCTGGGCAAGTGTTACACTGCTGGGAGAAAAGGGCATTTGGGGCCTAGTTCATGCCAAATCTGTGTTAACTATACCAATACCAGCACACCAGCATAATTGCCTATTCTATTTTTCCCCCTCTTTAAAGATATGTAGGGAAGGCAGGGATGCCAGGCCAGGACACATTGCCCCAGGCCCCTGGCATGCTGTGTGCCTCTGGGCAGTGACAGGGCTACACACTGCTCAGGGAAAGAGGTCTGGGGACATGTTCGAGACGAACAGCTGAGGGCATGTTTGACAAGGGAAGAACGACTTCCGGAGGCCTACACAGAGAAGGCTACTGCACTCTCAGGTAGGCAAGGGAACTGATATGAAGTGGTTCAGAAGGGGGAAACTGGAAGGCATGTCTGGGTCACGCCAAGCCACCCGCCCATGCAGAGAAATATCACCAACCAACCACTGACACATGTCAAACCTGAAGCGGGAGAGCATGTCTGGCTGGACTAGACCGCATTACTCACAGGGAAGTACATGGGTAGGTTGTGGGCCATATCAGACTGCACCGCAGCACCCACCAGAATACAACAGAACTGGATCTAGGGGCAGATTCTATAGGAGATTTGTGAGCCCACCTCTATGGGATTGCAAAACCCACTGGTTTACATAAGACCTGACAGTGGTGATGGGCCATTCTAGGCAGGATTGTGGAACTTACCAACACTTACAAGAGCTGGGGCTGAGAGGATGCCAGACTGGTAGGTGAACTTCACTGACTACCCTGCTGAGCCTGAGAGATAGGACTCAGAGCCACAATGAGTGTGAGCTGGTCAGGCTAGGCCACAACACCGACTGGCAAGTACCTGGACTAGGTGCAAGTCCCATCTGGCTGGACCACAGTACCCCTGGCAAGCATAAAAAGGGGTGGTGGGGAACTGTGGGCACTCGCCTGCTAAGTTGCGCCTCCTGCTGATGAGTGCGAGAACCAGTGCTGGGGAATGGGCCAGGGTGGTTAAGGTGACATACATGCAGGTTGGGTCTAGAAGCAGGTCAGACTGAACTAAGTCACAGCACCCAGGGGTGTGCATAAGAGCCAGATAGGATGTGGGATGGGCTGGGTTAGGCTGCAGCAAATGCCAGCATGTGCAGAAACCAGGACTGGGGACAGGTCTGGTGGGGGTTATTCGAGTTGTCCCAACTAGGCCGCTGCACCCACTGGTACGTATGAAGGCTAAACCTGTGGTGGGATGGGCTGGGCTAGGCTGCAGCATCCATCCGTTCACATAGATGAACTGAGCAGTCAGCTGCAACCACCAATACATGCATTGGCTGGTGCAGGTGTCAGACTGAACCCAGCCCTGCACTAGCTGGTGCACACAAAAGGCAAGTCTGAGGTCTTCTCAGGCAAAGTTTAGGGGATTCCCCAAGTGGATCACTGGATTCAAACTCTGGTCACAGGAAAAAAATCACAAGATAGATGGTCTGACCTTGAAGAGCATGTACCAGGATGGCGCCTCTCAGTTACCAATGCCTGTGCAGTGAACAGCATGCCCAAATGCACACAGGCGACATGACAGCTAGCTCATCTAGGCAAACAGAAGACGTGCAGTGTCTCATCAGAGGATGGAAAGTAGAACAGCTTAGACAATTCTGCTGGTCAAGCTTGGTAGCATGTTCCTGGGTCTGTAAAGCACTAAGGCAAACTTGGTCAGGAAATAGACCTCAGAAAAACTGGAAACCAAAGCATTCAGTGATGACTCAAAAATCCAATGAGCAATTAATTATTCCAGAATCTTTCTTCTTTCATCAGTATTACAGGAGAATATAATTTAGAGAAGTGTTTTGAATAACAAATGGGTTTGTCTCCAATTTGTTTTCAAAAGAGGAAAGTCCTATCTAAGATTGGATAAACTAAGACCACTTCCTTTTTAGCAGATAGCATCTCTGATCCCATGGGAAATGAGTACACACACCAACCCTAAGTCTGTCAGATTTGCAATGAATACTTTAACAAAACTACAGGGAAATCCTTTAAAAGGGAAACCAAAAAGCAGGGTTTAAAAAAAAAAAAAACAAATAGGTACCAATGGACTCCCACTATAACTCTACCAGTTAAGAATATAAAAAGAGAAGAAAAATATACACTTACCAGATGGAGACATATATTCTGCATTTGCCCTGCAAACCACTTTGATGGGCAGATTACACATTTGCAAAAAGGCCTGTAAATCAACAGAAGGGTAGTAAGCCTGGAGAAATCAGACACATATTTGAACAGAACTTTTTATTCATTTCTTTCTTTTTTTAAAAGACTTATTTTTACTAGAAAGTCAATTACAGAGAAACACACACACATATATTTGCAATCTGGTTCATTCCCGAAATGGACTCAATAGCAGGAGCTGGGCTAGTCTGAAGCTGGGAGCCAGGAGCTTCCTTCAGGTCTCCCATGGGGTTGCAGAGCCTCAGGGCCTTGTTTTTCCAGGCCACTGGCAGGAAGCTGCACTGGAAGTAGACCAGCCAGGACTAAAACTGCTGCCCATATTGGATGCCAGCATCACAAGGTGCAGCATACTCCGCTGTGCTACTGTATGGCCACACTCACTTCTAAATCTAATAAATAGTTCATACATTAATTCTCTTTTGGAAAAGAATGAAGGATTTTATTTTCACTACAAAAATAATTTAACTTCAATACTAGTGAATACATTAAGTTAAAACACTTAAGTATGTATCACTTTTTAAAAAGCAAATTATTAATACTTATTACATTAGTTTACAATACGGGCCTGGTGTGATGGCTCAGTGACTAATTCCTCAACTGGTGTACACCAGGATCCCACAATGGTGCTAATTTGTGTCTGAGCTGTTCCACTTCCCATCCAGCTCACTGCTAACAGTCTGGAAAAGCAGCAGGAGATGGCTCAAGTCCTTAGGCCTCTGCTCCCACATGGGAGACCTGGGAGAAGTTCCTGGCTCCTGGCTTCAGATGGGCTCAACTTTAGTCATTGTGTTCATTTGGGGAGTGACTCAGTAAATGAAAGATAAATCTCTCTGTCTCTCTCTCTCTTTCTCTCTCTCTCTCTCCCATACTCTTCCCTGCCTATGTCTTTCAAATATAAATAAATCTTAACAACAACAACAAAAAAGTAGGTCTCAAACCAGGACCCACACAGGAGGCCAACATTAAGGCATCTTAACATACCACACACAATGTCAACTCAAGAAAAAAACTACTCTCTGTTTAATGCACTGACGTTTTGGGTTTCTATCACACACTGACAGACTTATAGCTAATTAATTCACCTATTACTACTTTTTCTACATTTAAATACAACCTCATCTGATGAAAAATGTACTCATCTGCGTTGAAACAGAAACTAATAATCCCATAAATACTATTTTCTGTTTTCCCGTTTTATAGCAGTATAGTGAGTCCTACCGATCCACAAAAATGGACATATATCTGATCATGTGGACAGTTAGATAGAAAAAAAGAATCAGAATAAATGTAAACAGTTCTCAAAAATCCTTAATTAGAAGAAAAGGAAGAAGAGAGAAGGACAAATTCCTTGGTATTGACACACATAGCTTCCAATGATGGAAACTTAAGATCATTTAAACACAAAGGCAAAAGGCAGTAAAAAGTGAAATTAAAGCCAGTAGGATTGTACGAGGTTCCTGTAAAAGTAGAAAGAACAGCTGAAAAGGATTTTCTGTCAGTTTTTGCTGCAAACAGGAGACTTCCACCATAATACAAGGATTGATACGGAATCAATGCTGACTACAAGCAAAGCAAGAAGGACATGAAAATCAGGAAATGCTCACACTTCACTAAAGGGAGCAGAAATCATTTGCTGAGAATGATAGAATTAGAGAAGACTGAGACTCTAAAAGAACCATTTTATCTCCTCCAGGCCTAAATTATATCCAACAGTTAATTACAAAACTATTTAATGTACAGTATTTTTACTAAGCTACAGGCACAGTGGTATGCACATTAATCAATATTTCAAAAAGCTACATTTCACTAAAAGAACTAAGCAAAGTTAAGTTCTATAAATCCATGCTTCCTTTTTAAAAAAAATATTCATTTTTATAAAGATCTGTTTTATTTTTGTATTGGAAAGGTAGATTTACAGAGAGAAGGAGATCTTCCAACCATTGGTTCACTCTGAAATATCCACAACAGCCACAGATGAGCCAATCTGAAGCCAGGAGCCAGGAGCTTCCTCCAGGTCCCAAGGCTTTGGGCCGTCCTCAACTGATTTCCCAGGCCACAGGCAGGGAGCTGGATGGGAAATGGAGCAGTCAGGACATGAACTGGTTCCCATATGGTATCCTGGCAATTGCAAGGTGAGAATTTAACCACTAAGCTACAGAACCAGGTTTCTTGCTATTTTATTATTTAAGAAAATAAATAATGAATTTAAAAAGACATCACTTTGGTACAGGGATTAAAGCCCTGGAGTGTGATACTGGCAACCCATATGGGCACCAGCTCAAGTCCTGGCTGTGCCACTTAGGATGCAGCTCCCTGCTGATACACCTGGAAAAACAATAGGAGATGACCCAAATGCTTGGGTACCTGTCCTTGTGTAGGAGACCTGGAAGAAGCCCCTGGCTTCTCACACTGATCCGGTCTAGCCCCAGCAGTTGCAGCCATTTAGGGAGTGAACCAACGGATAAGAGATCTGTGTCTCTCTTAGCTGTGTCTTTCAAATAAGTAAAAAAAAAAAAAAAATCTTTTTTAAAAACCAAATCCCGGCGGCCCCGCTTCCCATCCAGCTCCCTGCTTGCAGCTCCCTGTTTGCCACCTGGGAAATCAAAGAGGACAGCCCAAAGCCTTGGGACCCTGCACCCATGTGGAAGATCTAGAAGAAGCTCCTGGCTCTTGGCTTCAGATAGGCTCAGCTCCAGCCATTGCAGCCACTTGGGAGCGAATCATCGGACAGAAAATCTTCCTCTCTGTCTCTCTTCTCTCTATATATCTGACTTTCCAATAAAAATAAATAAATCTTTATAAAAAATATAAAAGCAAAATCTTATCATGAGTGTCTTTACCAACATAAAACTTCAAACAAATGCAACTGTTGACTTATCTGGCCATTTTACCTTTTTCTTGCTGGATGACAGAAACCTCTGAGAAGTTCCAAAATAGTATTTTCACTTCCAATATCTTATTCAAACAATAGGCATGATATACCAACTAAAATATATTATACTTAATAGTGATCTCATATAAATTTTAACAATGCAGGAAAACTGATCAACTCTTACTATTCAGGACACTTTATTTCCAACTAACCCAAAGGAATGACAACATAATTTGAATAAAGAACTAATACATTTTATCAAAATGTTTCTTAAGAACTTCTCAAAAGATCTTATCAGATTTTTCTAAAAAAAAAAAAAAGATTTGTTTAGTAGAAAGGCAATTTCAGGCAGGGAGAGCAACGGCCAGGGCTGGGCCATGTGAAAGCCAGAGCGAGGGGCTTGCTCTGGGTAACCCATGTGTCCCAGGGCTGTCCTCTGAATTCCCAGGCTCATCGGCAGGGAGCTGGCTCAGAAGCAGAGCAGCCACAGCACAAGCCAGTCCTTTGACATGAGATGTCAGCATTACCGTGACTTAACCCTGTGGACCACTATCCTGCCCCAGAATAAAGCTTTCCCACTAGCTGTTCATCATGGTGGCTACTAGTCTCTGGTTGCTTTCTAACCTAATTTAAATGTATTAAGACTGAATACATTTTAATTCAATTTCTGACAGTCAGTAGGCATATTTAAAACAGTCAACAGTTTCTAGGGCTAGCAGCTACCACTGTATTTATTAAATGGTTCAATGGCACAGACACAGAATGTTCCATTCTCACAGTGGTACATAACAGTGTACACTGGACAGTATGAGTCTGTAACAATGCTAACCAGCGCATAACAGCAATCTTAGCAAGAGAGGCTGAGGATTATAAAAATATAACAGCACAACAGTACAGTCCACAAATACTGTACAAGCAAACAATTAAGTTTTGACAGTGATGACAATAAACACAATATTTCTAATTACAGAAAAAAACTAATACAGGGTTACTCATCTGTTGAGCAACGGCTAAAGCAATAAAGCAAATTTACTAATGTGTAAAACTTAGAACTGGTAAATGAATAAGCTGAAACTCCAGGCAAGAAATACATCTATTCTTTGAATATAAATTAACTGAATATCTAAATGAAATGGTAAGGGATTTTTAAAACTATAACAAATATAGATGCACACAGAACAAAATAAGCAGTACCTGAATTCTAAAACCCTGAGGTCTAAAAAGTTTGACGAAGTTTTAACATACTAAATAAACACATTTATCTCTCTAAAGTTTCAAAACACGTATTAAAATGATAGAAAATCAGGAAAGGCACAAATACAGAAAGGCCTACAGAATGGAAGAAGCGGCAAAAGCAGACCAAAGATGTCAACCAGAGATTTATATGTAAGCCAGAAAGCAGCTTTAGCAGGGCAGAGGAAACGGAAACCTGAGTGCAGCAGAAAAGAAAATCAATACATTTACATCACAACAAAGAAGATTCCAAAATTGGAAGCACCAACTAGCACAGAGGGCAGAGGTGAGGTGCGGGATGCAGAGAAAGCTCGGGTGAAAAACTGTACAAATACCAGAGAACCAGCCCTCCCTCAATCTGGCAGGAAACAGAAGTTTATTCTCTGACGAAATCAAACCGAAGAGACTCCTGACCCAGGGCCGCGAGCGCAGGAGAAGGCAGGGGGGCGAGGCGGCACAGTGAGAAGAGCAAGGGTAAGGTGAAGGACATACACACCCACCGCAGCGCTCCACAGCACCTCTTCCTCAGCAGCTCCCAAACACGCGATACCTCTCCGGCGAAAAGCACATACACACACTGCTGGGTTGAGTAGGGCAGAGAGTGGAGTGGGGACAGTGGGCAAGACAAATAACACCACAACGTACCATTAGTCTACTATGACACCCCATGTAAATAAGGACTTCATCTCCCCGTCAACATTTCAGTTCCTCACTCTTAATTATCAATTGTTAGCAGAGATCAATAATTGACACTATCAAACACAAAATGTACAGTCAAGCAAACCACAAGAAATAGAAGCAGAAAATCCAAAAAACAGGAAATAACCTCAATGAAAAGTTAGACTAGTTACTGTGTATTGGGTACTGACTGCTTGTCAAGAATTTGCATGAGA